TATTGCTAAGATAATTCCATATTATTTCAAGTTATTATATTTATCGATTGTTTTCTTTTAATGTAAGCCAACTATTCGGCGTTAACATTTTACAATATTATACAAGAAATTTGTTTAAAAGTATGTCTAATGTTGATACTTACATAAAGATCCTTTGTTTAAGTGAGACCAACTCATAAGTAATTAACACTTGTGATTAAATCGATTGTGTTACATTATCTTAATTTCTAAAATCAATAAGTTTTATTTTAAATTTTAATCCAGAACGATTAGCTAAAAGCTATTTTTAACTATTCATGACTAAGGTATTGGTAAGTTCAATGAGAAATAACTATATATACTTCCTTACATGTCTAGTTACGCTAATAGTTCAGACTAGTTGACCCGTGCGAAACTTTCACCGTGATCAGTCAAATTATCGGTTTAAAATATCAGTCATAATTATTGAGTTTAAATTATCAACATTTGATGAATAAATAATTATGGAAGTTATGGCATTCGGAAAAAAAAAACCCCTTTGACAAAAAAACATAAAGAGATAGTAATTAAACTACTTCATTGATTTTCATGCTTAAAGTTTTAGATTGATCCTTCTCTTCAATATGAATGCCGTAAAGCAATCGAAGTGTATGGGATCAAAGAATAGTTTGTGAAATTTGAAATAAACATTCGATATAAGCCCACTAATCCATTGCGCGGTATATGCGTCACGCGGTCAACTTCACGGCTTAAGCTGGCTTATGTCCTAAAGCCATGGACACGATTCACCAGCTTTCCCGCTCCATACGGATCCCCAGCTTTCTAACTCCCAATAGAAGCCTTAAAGCGGTTTATAATGTGCCATACAGATGCCATCTAGACATTTCACCGTTTTCTAATTCATGCGTGTTATATACATTATATGTATATATTTTTTTCTATACATTATAGAAACGATGGAGCGTCGCGAATCATACAAATTTCAATAACTCATATTTATCAATGATTATTGATCGTGTCATTCAGAAGAAGTACAGGTGTAACTGCAACAAGAATAATCCCTTGGGCGCCGACTCTATAAGAAAGCTTGAGCTTATTTAAAGAGTCTGCGTAAATCTGAACTTAAATACAATAAATATGATATAAAAACAAAATAAGTATAACACCTGGTGATCACATCAACGAAATTGTTAATCGTAGATTAACATGCTTACATGCCACATGCCCTGTGCTGAAGGAAAACAATATTCGGGAATCCGTGTGTATGTATATAATAAACAAAAAATATTTATAATAAACAAAATTGTTTCGAAAATTAAAAATTCTGCTAAATTGCAAAATGTGAGTATGTCCTAATGACATGTGCGTAGATGTAACTGCAGAGACACATTGGCTGTTACCTTTAAGACGTAAGATTTATCGAGGGGCCAGTAGGAAATTACGCAAATGCAACCGCATGAGAGCTCGCGGTCGACTGACAGACGGAATACCGTCAGTCACCTGCTCGGGAATAGGGCTGTCAATATAGTTTTCTCTTCACTGATCCCAATAATAAAATGAGTAATAATGAGTGCGTCACGATAATACATTCAATTAGACTATTATTTATTTTCGAAAACGATCGGATAAGTGATATACGAGTTATGGTTATCATGCTATGCTTTTAACGTTTGATTATGATTTATCGTGTATTAGGTACACAGTTTAATAATGGTGTTAAGAAAATAAGCATATATTATATGCTTCTAGTTTAAGAGAGACAGAAATAGCAAAAGCTATCTATGCCTTTTAACTTGTTTAATCTTAAACTAAACATTTCAGCCTGTTCGCAAGCAAGATTCTGAGCCACCTGTATCCATAGGATTTCTGCACATTTCCACAGTTCGTCACTACATTCAGTTGGGGTTCGTCCTCCACTGTGATAGAGGATACCACTTAAAAACACACATCGAATTAATTATATTAGCAACCCTATACAAAATGTTTAAGGTACTGTGAAGATGCGAAATGGACGCGTTAAAACGATTGCGTTACGTTATTTCGTTTGTATGCAACCGCCAAAGTTCGCGTACCGTCGATAATGACGCTCGTAATGAAAACTGGTCCCCATTCGTCCCACCGGGGAAGTTGGTTGATGACCATACGCTTCTTCGGTAATAGATGAAGCATCTATTATTCTTTTTTTATGTTATTTCAATTAAAAAATTGAGTAAGCGGAAAAGTTGTATGCAATATTTGGGGGGAACATGACGGATGCACCTCTTATCTGGTAAATAAAAATAATTAGAATAAGATTTGAGTTAAAATAGTCGAGTTCCCCGTAAACACAACCTCCATCAGATCTCCAGCACAAAAATGCTGGTATCTGCGAGAAGTTAACGTCGATTGGTTGAATTCAATTAAAATAGCCCTTTTTTATTTTGTACCCCGTTGACAGAAAGTTTTGTGTGCTGTATTTCATGTTACCACTCGAACAGTATAGGTAGCACAAACTCTATCAATTCTATCTAAGAATAATCAAATGTTCTTTTGAAATTTAAACCACACATACGCAACCACACATACAACATTTTTTTTGTTTACCACCGAAAGTTATATCCACTTTGGGCGGCAGTATATTTAAATATTTGTCGCAGAGTTCCATATGTTCATCTTAATAACTAGGCATTTCACATACTATACTGTTAGGAAATAGAAACGATGATTGATTTTTTTTAAAAGAATTTATTGGCCAGTAGGCCAAACTACATAGAAGTTTGACTATGATTCTAAGTAACCGACACAATCGTTATTAATTCGGGTAGAACTTCCGCACTCTACAACGGCTGATGAGAAAGTCTCTTGACACGGCTCCTATCTTCTAACAATATTATATTTAATCATAAAAAACTCAGAGGGTCAGTGTTAACCATAATATTATAAAATTTACTATAATATGTATATACTTTAACATTATTTTGGTTTATAAATATATAATATATATTTATAAACCAAAATAATGTTAAAGTTTACATTTAGAAAATAGTAAACAATAAAATCATATTACCGCCATCTATATTACTGACGGCTAAGATACGACCATCTGTTCCAGAGTGTTTTGAAATGAACCGAATTTTTCTCAAATGTGAGTTCACGCAAATGCTACAATTTTTGTATAGATGGCGCTAAAATACAATCCCATTGTCATTCCTATAATACCGTCAACACTGGGGTTAGCTCATATAAAATAAAGATTTTTATTTTATATGAACTAACCCCAGTTAAGAGATGACTATATTCTGTCCCAAGTGTTTGAAATGAACCGATTTTTTTCTCGAATTTCGTTGGTCTTCAGCTCACGCAAATTTTAAAGATTTCGATGCAAAATTCACGATGATCAGCCTTGCTGGTTTACCATGCACAAATTAAGGGCATAGATTATAGCACTGGTACTTCTACCACCGACTTACGGCCGGTTTCTAAAATACTGATATTCGTAGAAATTAACGGATTAGTATAATGTAATTAGTAGAAATCAGCTGATTTGCTTATTCAGCTTAACTTCAGGTGAGAATTCTGATCATCAAGAACATCATTCTGAGCAATTCAGAGAGTTTAACCATCCTTTTTAACCAAACTCAAACGACATTTGAAAAGCCATTTGACAACTGGTTAGTTAATTTCCACGTTGATCAGTGTTTCGGAAACCGGACATTACCATTGAAAAGTTATGTCCAAACTACTTGACTTGACCCACTTCATCCCATTTTGGTGGTTTGACCAACTGGACAGATGATAAACGGACGTTATTAATGTTTGTTTAAAATGAATTTAATTTTAATATCTTCTGTCCAAACACTTACACTACGAAATTTATTTATGCCATATTTTTTTAAACATATTTCATCTAAAAGCACAAAGAATTTTAATCTGTTATCACTGTCACATTAAAGCGGGGACTACTGTTGACATTTACGTCTTTTTTTCCTTGAAGCAAGGTCGTCTGGTTACTAAAGGGCCCGTCGCAATTATCTCTTTATTAGGCTTCTTGTACCACATTTATACATCGAGCGACTTTTTCTATGTTCATTATTACATTTTTATATTAATGAAAGTGATATTAACAATACCGAATTCCTAGATGTGAAATGAAATAATGTATATTATTCTCCAATTCCCCTATGGAAGTTGAATGGGTCTATTGTTTGTTATATGTTTTATGCTCGATTATTTATAAGCAATGAGTTTTGAACACGAACTTACTTTTACTTTTATCGAACTTTTATTTTTTCTCTTTTCGAAATTACTAAATTTTACTATACACCTCCATACGTGCTATAGAATTACATTTTTTTTTAGTATTATAATGTATTTTTGAAGTAAAAGCCCATATCTGACAACATTATTATTTCATTTTTCGAATTAAAGCAATAGCCTATATAAATAAAGGGTATTGCTTTAAATATTGCTACTAAAGGCTAATGCGTTAGTCATTATATAGTAAACTAAACACGCAACTGGATATCGTAACGTGTTTAACAACTTTAGAATGACATGTTTAAGTGTCATACCACTATAACAATGACGAACTTGCCGTCTGTGGTTTATAAATATAACACATATAGTGACTATTTATATAAAACAAATGGTAAATGCTTTGGCCTTATAAAACTATAAGGTTTACAATGCTAGAACCTATTGCCTTCGCCTGTTTTGGTTAAGACAAAAAAAAGCTAGTACTGTCTTTTCGCCAAATTTGTCCCTCAATAAAATTAGACAGGTTGCAAGTCAGCCTTTCGAAGGTAGCCAAATCATTGAAACGCAAAACTCTTTGGCGCTTCTACAAAAAGGTTGGAAACGCTTCTGTTATTTGAGGTATACCGTTCGTTCGCTTGGCAAAATTTACACGACAAAACATATAAATATTCGGGATACATTTAAACAGATGTCGCTTTAGCATTCTTACGGTGCAGGCCCATAGTATTAACAGTAACTCATGCATAACACATTCTACCGTTTTTAAGACATCGTCTCCTTTACAGAGCTACAGAGAAAAGGATGCGGGGAAAGTGGTGCTGTACACGACGACTATGGGCATCGTGAGAAGCACCTACCAGCGCTGCGTCCTCGTGAAGAAGATCCTCAGGAACCTCCTGGTGAAGTACGACGAGCGAGACGTGTTCATGAGCACTGAGTACCAGGACGAGATAAGGGACAGGATGAAAAGCGATCAGATACTGGTGCCCCAGCTATTCATCGACGGCCACCACATAGGGGTGAGTACCGCCACTACATTACATCACAATTGTAAGACTATAAATTGTACATTTTGTGGATAAATTAACCAAAAGCTTTCGACGCTGCGGGTTTCGAACCGGTGCAATGTAAAACTTCCCTATGTATGCATAGGTCTTTAAAAGTACGCAACGGATCTTGATGCGTTTTTTTTACTAGATATAGTGACTTAGAAATACAAATTGACAGGATTTTTTAAAATTTGCGTATTTGGAGTGAAAATCAGTTTGCTTGTTACCAACACGTAAAGCTTGATATTTTAACATATTCAGCGATACTTTAACTTTAAAATTGATGTGATACCTTATAATCGTATTTCGAAACACAAGCGGTGTTTCTGCATTCAGTAAAAACATGTTCGTGTACCCGTTCGGATAAATATTCAATTGTGCCCATCGTGGATGACCAATTGGAAATTCAATTGAACAACATTTAATTGGGGTCCCACCGTGTGAACATAAGTCGTGTTGAGGTATTGCGAAAAAAAAAATAAACATTACAACCCTTGACATTTAAAGATCAACCACTTTCGAATGCGTGTTTTTGTTACTATTTATGAAACGGCAAGCGATTCTTGTATCGAAGGAGACTAAACTGTTTGTTTATACGTTATTTTTACAAAATAAGTAAGCGAATATACAAAAGCTTCAACTGATGGGTTGTCCTTGAAATATGCGAATATACAGGAATTTTAATTGCGATAGCAGCCTTAATACAGGGGGCCAGCTATTATATTTCTAATCATTAGATAAAAACCAATAGTAAAATAAATCTGAAATGAGCCGTTGTAGCTCTGGGTCCGGGCGATTGGTTTTAATTCAAAATACTCGAGCAACCTGAATTTTTGTATTGCTTGTATTTGAACTCAGGTTGCTAGAATGTGTTTAATTAAAATGCCCGATGCAAATTAAATTGTTAAATTTAAGTGCTGACTTATTACGTGCTCAGAGGTGAAGACAAACATCCTGAGCTGTATTATACATATAAACCTTCCTCTTGAATCACTCTATCTAGTAAAAAAACCGCATCAAGATCCGTTGCGTTATTTTAAAGATCTAAGCAAACATAGGGACGGACAGACAGCGGGACGACTTCGTTTATACTATAAAGTGATGTTAGTTAACTTTTTACTAAATGTGATATAGTTTTATTTAACCATGTATAGTATTCGCGTAAATACAACAAATGACTGATATTTTTATGTGAAAATGTGGCAAACTAGCTGGCGGTTCACCTGACGTTAAGTGACAACCGCAGCTAATTTGGAATTGGCAACACCCATAGGGTTGCAAATGCGTTACCACCTTTTAATAAAGTGTAGCCCATTCTTGCAACCGCGAAGACTGTTGCGTGGCCCTACCACAGTAAAATGTATATTTTTACATTAAGCCGTCTTGAATGGGCCACTGTTCTGCCACAGTAATTAACTTCATTGTAATCCGTCATTAATAAGAAAAAAAACATTGGTTAAAGTATCGAATAAGGCAAAAATAAATGGATTTTATAAGTGGATATCAGTCAAATATTCTTTTCAAAATGTAACAAGGTTTCCTCATTGGGAAGAAACAACCAGAGACGGAACAATGATCTACGTGTCATATAAATACTCTTCCCGTATGGAACCGAACCCACGACTCCCGATGCAGAAGCCAACAGCTCTGCAACCGCGCCACGGAAACGTGATGATTTTGCTATTTATTAAATGTATGTCTCTAATCTTTATCTAATACATACATAAGAAGATATTTATCTTCTTCTATCGTTCAATAGAAATAGGCGAAAGCAATTTAAAAATAAATAGTACCATTTCTGACATGATAAAGCTATAAGGGTTATGTTTATGGCTAAACACCAACAATATTTACAATTTGGCTGCGTTTAGAATTTAAAAGCAAGTCATACATTTATTCCATGTCCAATTAACTTTGTTCGAGAGTGGCTGTGCTACGTGGTACGACGGTATAGAAGCGACCATAATATTATCATTCCTATACAATAACTAGGGTTGTCACAAGAACTAGAACCAATACAACAAGTGTAGTGTGTACTCATAAGAGCTGTTTTTCTTTAAGTGCCTTACAGAAACTCTTAGGAAACTGAATGTAAATTAAATATGTAGTTGTTGCATAGAATTATTATTACTGGCCGAGGCATCATATACAAGACATTAAAGACACCAAATAAAAAAAACTTTAATATACAGATATTAGTTTGAAGGAAACTAGAAGTGGATATATTAGAGTACCTATAAAACTATATACTAATCGTCTACCAGTGTAAACTGAAGTGTACTGTAGGCGTGTACGCCGGGCGAGAGAAAAACTAATATCGAGACAGGTCTAAAATTAGATTGAAAAAGGAAATTGCGTCATAGGCAAAGTCGTAAAACGTAGCCTCGTGGTGTCATTTACTAATGATATATATACCAGCTTCGTATACGAGTTTGTTTATCTTGCAGATCTATGTCACAAATTGGCCCCAGCTTGGCTACCAATACATCTCACTCAGTGCCATCCAGCAACTTTTATCGTAAAACGAATGGTCTCACAGAAATAGCATAAAATAGAAGAAATATACTTATGTTTTTCTAGTAGCGGTACTCAATAACTTAAGGTGAACCGCCTGCTCGTTTGCCACCTTCTCCCGTAAAAAAACAACGGTTCATTAACTGGCTTTATAAATAAGAAAACGTTATAACGTGTTTTCATTACACTATAACGTGTTTCACAACACACAGGTCTCTTTCAGCCTATTTCTTACTGTCAAATCGTTAAGTTTAAAGATAGATTCAGTGTTAGAATTTTAAGTTTACAACAAGTAAAGATAAAGTTTAGATTCCTCTAATAAACTTTACAGACGTACATCACGTTAATGTTATGTATAACTATCAAGAAGCTGCCGTCGAAAGCGCTTTCAGGGGGTCAATTTTATCGGGGCTTTATTTAAGCAATTAAGAAAACCTCTCCGCCGTAATCATCCGGCCGTGACTGAACTACAGATATGGTCTTGATATTTCATTAAATCGTCTAGTTGCAACCCTGCGTACGTATGGAGGATGGCGTTTATAGCGTGAATATCCTTTATGTAGCCGTAATAAGGTTCCTTTTGCTTCGCTCGGTTACCTTAATTTTGCAAACTGTACAACTGAGCATTACGAGCCAGCACCCGGCAGACATTCCGCCGCACATTGCGCCTTACTTTATTGCAGGCGTCTCTATTAGATGCTTAACGCACACTGAACTATACAATTATGTTTATATTAGAAAAAAGTTTTAATTAAAGCAAGCAGGCACACGAGAACGCTAGTATGGATGGTTTTAATGACCCCCGCTAAGACACATCAGCATGTATTGTAAAAGCGTTTGTACAAATAATTTGTAAGCGAAGCATTCCACCTTGTTATTTGAAACACTGGGTTTAATGCGTTTATACCTTCTTTCCTCTTGTGACATATTTCTTTTTCTGAGACCAGCGTGATACTACTGGTTGACCTAGCCCATTAAAGCAGTATCAGGAACTACTGCGGAGTTCTATCACTGTGAAATTTACATTGCGTTAAAAATCGCACAATTTCAGTTTATTGATTAACTTGATTCCTTAATGCGTGGAGGTTTGACGGTAGAAGAAGAAGAAGAAGAAACGTTTATTCACGGTCTAAAAACAAGGAACACACATGAACAATGAGCACACTCACACCTACACATCACGAAGGAAAAAGAATTATTGTTTTATCGAGCAACGTAGGGCGAGGATCATTTCATCCACTCTATCATATTTCTTTTTCATTAAATAAATATTTTACCTGAAGTTTTTATTAAGACCTTTTAATACTTGCATTAGAAAAATTATAGAAAATAAACTAGAAAAAATTGAAAAAAAGCGTAAGGAAATTTGTTCCCTCCGAAAGCACTTTTTTACTTATAGTTTCAATGATTTCAATTTCGCGCTCAAAAAACATTATTTAGCAAGCTGCAACAGCAACAATAAACAGCAACGATGGTCTGCGACATATTTTGGTCTCAAAAGAATCTCGTGTATGACTAATTATGCTATACCACTTCATTCCAACCTGCTCTCATCTTTTTGGAATTTACTAGTCAATTCGCAATTTCCATATCAATTATTGGCACTTCGAAATTATTTCGTTATAAATTTCGCTGTGCGTTGATCCTTAGGCAAGCGCGCCGTCAAATCGATAACCGCACTTGATATCCACCTGTTGCGTTTAGAGACGCGTACACGGACGTATATTAACGATAAATTGCGCGACGCAGTCTGGACGGACGGATAAAGTTTTAAATTATATAGTCTAGCTACAACAGATGCGGTATGTCGAAATTTTTCATAAAAAGCTATGTGTTAGCGTTGTTAAACCAATTTATGTGTTTGTACTTTTGTAAAATATTCAAGGACTTAAACAATAAGTGAAAAAAAATAAGAACACTACATGGATGACTAGTGTATCATTAATTTGACGTAAAAGTTATACCAATGTTACTTCTTATAAAGAAATGAAATAACAATGGCTGTACTTGGAGAAAACTGGGTAGTGAATAAAGCTTTTATATTATTAATTGGTCTGGAACTTACTAATCACAAAGAAATTTTCACGAATGTTTATTAATACAGAAATAAATCCTTTCCTGTGAACGATAAAAGTGTTGCAAATAAAGAACAGCGGTGAAGAAACCGTGTAAGAAAACGTATTTCTACTATAAGTGTTTATGTACTTCATAATTGTCTATAATCTATATTAAAAGCAAACAGAGTCAAGAAAAAAAATGAAAATTTCCCTCAGCGCGATTTTCGTATTGCGACATTTACTGCGAGATTTCCCAAAAGCTCTCATTAAGCCTAAATACCGCTTATTCTTTAAATGTGGCTATACGTACATTGTATGTTATACAGAATTGGTCTCTTTTCCACAAAGCACTTCCTCCCAAGACTTCCCTTGGGAAAGGATTTTCGCAATCGCGAACAC